TATGGACCTGGACATGTGTCCTGACCGGGAATCAAACCGGTGACCTCTTGGTGCATGGCTTGACGCTCAACCACTGAGCCACACCGGCCGGATTGATTTGTAGGCCTCTTAAAGTAAGTTTTCTGAAAAAGTGTCTTGGAGCTATGGAATAAAACAAGTTAAGAACCATCTGTTCTAGATGGATTCCTAAATGACTTCATGGAGGGTCCCTTTTTTTCTTTCCTACTACACTGCTGACCTACATTGGAGTGTGGTATGAAAAAATGAGCTTTTATTGTATTAAGTTAGTGAGATTTGGGGGTTATTTTCTAGAACAGTTAGCATATGCAGACTAATATCCTTGCTACCAAAATGGCCCAAACATGACCGGGAGCACCTGAGACCTAAAGAGGCTTCTGGATGGAAAGGAGCCAAAGTGAATAAACAGTGAGGACCAAACATTAGATGAGGCCAGTGAAGATGTCTCAGCAGAAATCAACCTGGGAGAGTGATGCTAAGTACAGGAAACATCCTCCTTCACTTAGAAAGTTTAATTACAGTAATATAAGGAAATATTTTATTCCTGAATTTGTACATTTGCATGGTGAGATTTATAGCTGCCATGATATTTTTTTTATTATGTCTCTCTTCCCCTACTAGGGTGGCAGTTATTTTTGTTTCTCACAGCCAATATTAATTGCTCTTGAATTCATCCAGTTTATATATATATATGTGTGTGTGTGTGTATATATATATATATATATATAAATTATATTTTATATAAAGAGAATATACAATCTCCAATTAGCTCTGCTCTACATAAATCCTTCATGGCTAGCGTTGAATACTAACGAGGAACTGATAACCACAAAGATGAAAGCAATGTTAACATAAGTCCTTCTACACAGGAATTTGAAAGTTGTTAATATTTTTTCTTTTACTGATCTGAGAGAGAGAGGAAAGGAGGAGAGAGACCGAAACATTGACGAGAGAGAACATCAATTGGCCGCCTCCTGCATGCCTCCAACCAGGGATTGGGCCCAGACCCTGGGCATGTGTCCTGACCAGAAATGGAACCAGTGACGCTAAACCACTGAGCCACACTAGCAGGACAAAAGTTGTTAATTAAAAAAAAATGTTTTACTAATTTTTTTAGAGAAGAAGGGAGAGAGGGATAGAAACATCAATGTGAGAAAGAAACATCGATTGGCATTGGCTGCCTCCTGCACGCCCCCTACTGGGAATCAAGCCGGCAACCTGGGCACATGCTGTGACTGAGAATTGAACCGGGACTTGTCAGTCCATTGGACAATGCTCAATCCACTGAACCACACTGGCCAGGCAAAAGTTGTTAATTTTTGAAAAGGTTTGTTAATTTAAACAAAATAGTCTTGACAGATTCTTCCAGATTTTCAAGATACTCCTCTAAGACAGTAAGTTTTGTTAATTTCACCTTCCCCTTTAGACTGTTCTGCTGCATTTAACTTAAGACCAAATAAATCAGTCATAAACTCAAAATGGATAAAAGACTTAAATGTGACTCATGAATCCATAAAAATCCTAGAAGAAACTGTAGGCAACAAAATTTCAGACATCATACGCAGCAGAATTTTCACTGATACATCACCTAAGGCAATAGAAACAAAGGAGAAAAGGAACACATGAGACTACATCAAAATCAAAAGCTTCTGCACAGCAAAAGACACAATCATCAAAATGGAAAGGCTACCCACTGTATGGGAGAGCATCATTGTCAATGATATATCAGATAAGGGATTAATTTCCAAAATATACAGAGTACTCATACAATTCAACAAAAGGAAGACAAAGAACCCAATTAAAAAATGGGCAGAGGATCTAAATAGACACCTCTCCAAACAGGACATACAAATGGCTAAGAAACATGAAGAAATGCTCAACATCACTAATCATCAGAGAGATGCAAATTAAAACAACAATGAGGTATCACCTCACACCTGTCAGAATGGCCACCATCAACAAATCATCAAACAACAAGTGTTGGTGAGGGTGTGGAGAAAAGGGGACTCTAGTACACTGCTGGTGGGAACGCAGACTGGTGCAGCCACTATGGAAAACAATATGGTGTTACCTCAAAAAATTAAAAATTGAACTTCCATTTGACCCAGTGATCCCACTTCTAGGAATATACCCTAAGAAGCCTGAAACACCAATCAGGAAGAATATATGTACCCCCATGTTCATAGCAGCACTGTTTACAATAGCTAAGATCTGGAAACAGCCCAAGTGTCCATCAATAGACGAATGGATAAAAAAGCTGTGGTACATATACACAATAGAGTACTACGCAGCTGTAAGAAAGAAAGATCTCTTATCCTTTGAGACTACATGGAGGGACCTGGAAAGTATCATCCTAAGTGAAACAAGCCAAACAGAGAAAGATAAGTATCATATGATCTCACTTATTTGTGGAATATAATGAACATAACAGTCTGAGGAATGGGGTAGTCCCAGAGATGTGGAAGTGGGGTACAGCCTGACAATCCCCAGAAGAGGGGGTGGTGGGGGAGAGATAAACCACAGAACTTACATGAATGTATGCATGAACAATGGACATGGACAACAAAGCTGGGGACAGGGCAGGGAGGGAAGGGAAGGGGGGAATCAGTGGGGGAAAAAGGAGAAACATCTGTAACAAAAATAAATAAATAAATAAATAAATAAATAAATAAATAAATCAATAAATCAGTCATTATAAAATCTTCAGATAGTTAAATGTCAGATGCAAAGACTCCTCTGAGGACACATTCTTTCTAAGCCCCAAGGACTTTCTGTATCTAAATTTTTATAACCTATGGAACTATAAGTGAATGAAAATAAAGCAGGATTAGTGTGCTATATAGTTTGAATTTCAGCAATAAACTGTATAGAATATCTTTTGTTTGTTTTCTATATTATTCTTAATATAAAGAGAATTTTACAGATTAATTTATTCTTAAGGCTGCAATGTAAACATCAGCTTGCCTTTGTAACTGCTGTATACCAAACTCTAAACCTGTCTGACAAAAATTTTTATGCATGAGTAAATTAATCAGACAGCATTTATTTTAATTATAAGCAGTATACGTCACTCATGACTAGACTTTGTTAAGAGAAAGTTGTTGCCCCCCCTTTTTTTTAATGCATTTAAGGGTAAGGTGACTAGAATTACAAGTTCAAGCTTTTAAATTGTCAGTAGCTTACTGACCCTGGAGATTCTTAAGGTGTTACAAAGTTCCTTGATGGAAGTTCAAGTCTTTGAAAATACTTTTTAGTGGCTGCTTAGTGTTAGTGTGTATTAGGAAGTGCAATAATTGTTTTTGTCCTTTAGCTTGTTAATTTTCACACATTCAAAACAATAAAGAACATAATGAACCTCCCAAGTACCCATTATCCAACTTCAACAATTATCATATCTTGCCAATCTTTTGTTATCTATTTCCCCTTCCTGTTTTCCTTTTATGCTGGAGTATTTTAAAGTAAATCCTAGGTACCATATTATTTCACCTCTAATTATTCCAGTATATATCTCTAATAGATAAGGACATTTTTAACATAATAAGGTAATACAAATTAGCATACGTTCCATGCTCAATTTTTGCCTGGATCTCTCAAAATGTCTCATATTTGGTTTGTTTAAATCACTATCCAAACAATATCCACAATAGTTGCATTTGGTCAGTATATCTCTAAAGTTTGTTCCTCTCCCTTTTAAAAATGACATTTATTTGTAGAAGAAACCACGGCATTTGTTCTGTAGAGATTCTCTTATTCTGGATTTGACTGACTGCATCATGATATAGTTTAACATTCCTCTCTCTCTCTCTCTCTCTATCTATATATATATATATATATATTTTTTTTTTTACTTTTTTAAATATGTTTTTTATTAATTTTTTGAGAGAGAGAGAAACATCTATGTGAGAGAGAAACATTGATCGCTGCCTCCTGCAACCCCCTACTGAGGATGGAGCTGGCAACCCAGGCATGTGCCCTGACCAGAATCGAACTGGGACCTCTCAGTCCATGGGAGGATGCTCAATCCACTGAGCCACACTGGCCAGGCTATATATTTTTTTTAATAAGAATGGTAGTTAGATCTAGAACCTTGTTTGGATTAAAAATGAATTTTATACATATATAATATTCTTTTTGGCAAGAATATTTCATAGCTGTTACTGAGCACTTCCTATTTGATTAAGAGGCACATATTTGTCTCCCTTTTAGTGATGTTACACTTGATCAGTGACTTGAAATGTTGTCAGCCTGATCCATTATTAAAAAGGGCTCCATGCCCTGGCCGGTTTGGCTCAGCAGTTAGAGCATGAGCCTGCAGACCACAGAGACCCTGTTGGGTTCCTGCTAAGGGCACATACCTCAGATGCAGTTTGTCCCTGGCCCGGGGTTGGGGTCGTGTGGGTGGCAACCATTCAGTGTGTCTCTCTCACATCCATGGTTCTCTCTCTCTCTTCCTCCCTTTCTCCCTCCTGCTCTATCTGAAGATAAATGCTAAAGTGTCCTTAGATGAGGATAAAAAGAAAAGTGCTCCAACTTTCACCTAATAGAATTAGCCATAGATGACAGTTGGCTAGATATATTATTTCATCAAAAGTTGCAAAATTGTGATTTTATAATCCTATCATTATTTCTGTATTTATTAGTTATAATTCTATAAAATAGAAATTTCTTTCATCAACTACACAGTGCCCTGAAATACAGTTTATACCAAAATGGCAGATAAACAATTTTTTACTGAATTTAATCTACTTTCAGCATATGAGTTGGTGTCCTGTGAACTTTCATTAGTGAGCAATGAGTTCCCCCAAACCAATGTACATAAAAACCCTTCCCCTGGGATCACCAGGTAGTTTTCACTGTGAAAGTAGAAGAGCTGGGTGGGGGTGGGGGTAAGATAGGATGTAATTGGGCAGACTGAGGTATGGTGCAGGAATTTAGGGTAGGAAAGAACTGGGTCAAGGAGAGAGAGTACCTTAAAGCAGGCTCTAAATGGCAAAATCCGAGTCTTCTGGGCTGTCCTGGACATAGGTGCTCTCGGTGGACTCACTGGCTTCCTTGCTGTTGCCGCCACTACTGTCACTGGAGGGACTCTTCCTCTCCTGACCTGACTCTTCAGAACCCAGAAGTATGCTGCCTGGGGTCTCCTGGTTATCCCTGGGGCCGAGCACCGCAGGCCTGCCCTTCTTCAGCTCCAGCTGCCGTCTCAGCTCATCTGCCATCTGCGAGAGATCCCGCTTCATAGCATAGGCATCTTCCCCATCTGCATAGTATTTGGGTTCCACCTCACTAACCTGGAAGTTGAGAGTGTCAGAATACAGGTGCAGGGCGGCCCGGTTACTCTTCCTGACGTGCAGGGACACGTACTTGGCGCTAAAGTTCTCGATCATGGCCCGGGAGGCCTGGTCCATCAGCTTCTGGGCCAGGCCGAGGCGCCGGTGCGAACGCTTCACCGCCAGGGAGGTGATGTGTCCATGGGGGGCATCTTCTGGGTCCTCCTCCATTTTGGCCAGGATGTAGCCCACAATCTTCCCGTCCTCGTCCTCAGCGATGTAAGAGAGCTGGGGCCAGGACAGTCCATGGTAGAAATAGTATTTCATCTGGTAGTTCTCGGGCAGGCAGAGCAGGTTGCAGTGTTGCATGTTTATCAGGTCGTGCGGCCCAGCATTGCGGATGTTCATGATGGCGGCAGTGGAGCCGAAGCCGCTGGCGGTGAGCAGAGGGAGGCTGCGGCCAGGCGCACGGCACAGCACCCGTGCGCCTCTGTGGGTTGGTCCAGGGGCCCAGGCCACACGGCGGGTCGGCGTGGAGGCGGGAAGGCGTGGAGGCGTGGAGGCGGGAAGGCGGGAAGGCGGGAAGGCGGGAAGGCGGGAAGGCGGGATGGCCTGGCGGCGGAAGAGGCCGCGTTAAGAAGTGACTTCCGGAAGTGCGCCACCTAGTCCCAGTCCATGGGGCTTCCACTTCATTGTGCGTGCGCATGCGCAAGGCTGAGAGTAGGAGGGTGCAGTTCATGATGATCTCTGGTTTTAAATATAATGTTTGGTCCATTCCTGTCGTTCTTTTGTTTCAGTTTTAATTTTTTAATTTGGATACATCTGGATACATGTTCACAAAGCTGAATAAACCCCCCAAACCAGTATTCAGGTCAAGAACCTGAATATTGCTCACATCCCAGAAGCCCTCGCTCACGTCCCCTACCCCTCTGTCCTAAGGGTAACTAAGACCTAAACTAACAGTTTTTATGTCAATGGAATCATAGTGCATACATTCTTTTTGTGTCTTTTTCTTTGTTTGCTACTTGATATTTATTTCTGCTAACTCTGTGTTGTTAGGAATTCTTAAAACCCACTTGTTTGATATTCCATTGCCTAAAGATATCAGAGTTTGTTCATTTATTCTGCTGTTGATGGCCATGTGTATTATTTCCAATTGGGGAATAGTGGGAGTAGAGTACCTAAAGATTCTGGAACATGTTTTTTGTGGACTGCCAAGCAATTTCTCAAAGTGGTTACTCCCTGTTCTCATTAACATTTGGTATTTCCCCATCTTTTTCATTTTAGCGATGCTTGTGTGAGGGTGGTGATATTACATTGTGGCTTTATTTTGCAGTTCCCTGATAACTAATGAAACTGGACATCTTTTTTTTATTTATTTTTATTTTTTTGTTACAGATACTTTACCTTTTTTACCCCATTGGCACCCCCCTCCTCACCCCCACCGCGCCCCGTCCCCGGCTTAGTTGTCCAAGTCCATTGATCATGGACATCTTTTTTTACATGCTTATTAGCCATTGTATATTCTTTATTGTGAAGTGATAATACAAGTTTTTTGTTCATTTTTCTATTGGATTATGTGTCTTTTTCTCATTAATGTTTAAGATTTTTAAATATATATATTCTGGATGTTAGTTTTTTGATATATATATATGTGTGTGTGTATGTGTGTATATATGTGTATCTATACACACATATGTGTGTGTGTGTGTGTATAGGCATCCTATGCTATTGTTTGGTTTTTTTCACTTTCTTTTTTTTTTATCCTCACCTGAGGACATTTTTCCATTTTTGTTCAGACAGAGTGGGAGGGGGCCTGCCTCCCACATGACCCCAACCAGGGCCCCGGACAAACTGCAACCAAGGTATGTGCCCTTTAAGTCTTAGCAGGAACCGAACCCAGGTCTCTCTGGACCATGGCCAACCCTCTAATCGCTGAGTCAAACTGGCCAGGGCAATTTTTTCACTCTCTTATTGGTGACAATAAGACAATTATTGATAATAAGTAGGAATCTTAATATAGTACAGTTTTTCCAGCTTTAAAATTTCAGTTAGTGCTTTTTGTGTCCTGTTTAAGAAGTATTTGCTTATTCCAAGCTTAGAGACATTCTTCTATGTTTTCTTCTGAAAACTTTATTATTTTATATTTTATGTTTAGATATGTATTCCATTGGATTTTCTTCTTTTTGTATGTTTTAGATAGAGGCTCAGCTATTTTTTTTTTTTTTTTTTTTTTGCCTATATGGATATTCTATTCATCGAGCATCATTTATTGAAAAAAATTATTTTTTTCTTTCTTGTATCACATTGTTGCCTTTGTCATAAATCATAGTTGCATTTTTAGATATATTTTTTAAATTCTGTGCCATCTTGATAAAACAAGATTTAGGGTATTTTTTTTTTTTTTTTTAATTTTATCTTTCCCTTTATGCTCAAAATATGATAGTGTTAAAATCCAGGAGGTTTGGGGCTGATCCTTGTGTGGTTTCCATACTTTGGCAGACACCGAATCAAGCCCTCAGTAATGTGAGAGCATCATCTCAATAAGCTAGCAGCAACTATTACTCTGTCAAGTTCAGCGGCCCAAGTCAAATCCTGGGCATATTCACAGATGTGTGGTAGAGTTTGGACTCCATCCAGCTCTTGGGAAAGAACAGGGATAGAAACTGTTTTTGAGGAGACAATTAAGCAAAAGATGACCGGATACCAGAGGGTCTGGTGGGAGAAGTGGGGAAAGTGCAGGATACTATCTATCATTTTATCATTTGTGCTGTTTTGTTTATCTTTTTCATTCCATGGGCCATGAAAGTAGGAAGAAGATCCTTGGGCCCATACAGATTTAGGGAAAAGAGACATCCTATCAATCAGTATGTTTCATTTGTTCGTTTGATTCTTTTTAATCCTAAATCTGAGGCCTAATTGTAGAGTAGGACAACAACACAATAATTTTCATAGGCATCTAGTTGAGCCCAAAGGAGAAAATGGCAGTTTCTTTGGCTTCAATATGAGCCAAAACATTTCTATGCCTAAAGTTATTGGAAAGCAACACAATTTATAGCAGCTATATTATAAGGGAATTGTATGATATATAACAGATCATCACCAAATGCACAAATAAACATTTTTCTACCTAGTAAGTGCACAAATTCTCATTGTTTCCTTCATTGTCTATAATCATAAACAGCACCAAAGATTATAAATTCAGTCATGTGGGTAAGCAACAACAGATAGCAAAGAAAAATTTTCTACTTTCTCCTGTTACTGCATATTTCAAACCCACTTTTTTTCTGGGCAAAACGGCATATCTACATAAAACATGAATCAATAGTTTTGAAAAACAAATAGTTTTTAAAGTTAACATTGGGTTTAAAAAGTGGTCAGTGGCAGTAAGACTGGCCTGACACTTCCCTTGCACTGAAACAAGGGCAAATCTCTGGGTTTGGTTTAAGCCCAGCCTTCTCCACTTGAAGAGAAGTATAAAGTACAGTCAAACCTTGGTTCCCCAACATCTCCTATCTTGAACAGTTCTGTTCTTAACCAAGTTGTTCACAGAAAAAAATGTCTTGGTCTCTGAACAAAACTTGGTTCTAGACCTGAAACCTCTTTCATGTTGATACATCAACACAACAAGAAGTGTTTCTCAGTCCGCAAACAAAGGAGAGAATGCTAGTCTGTTTATGGCTAAACCTAGTTTAACATCACAGGAAATTGTGCTATAAATATTTTTGTGTGTTTTTTGCTGGGGGAATGGATGATTAGCAAAATTTAAAAACATAAAGAGGCCATCAAGAGTGCTAATGTTGCTAAGGGTGTGAGAGAAACAGTGGTCACAGGCAATTGAAAAGGCAGAAAAACTTGTTGATTTGGATAGAGGAAAAGCAGTTAGTTGGTGACAGCATTTCAGAAGCAGTGACTGGTGAAAAAGCAAAGATGCCCTAGGCTGACTTTCTGAAAAACTCCCCTGGAAAGAGTGCTGGAACTGACTTGTTTAAGGCTGGTAGGGAGTGGTTCGATAAATTTAAGAAAAGAAATGTTTGTTTATCAATTAAATAGTACATTAGACACGTACAACATATAAAGAAGGTTAAAATGGAGAATCCTTGGGGGTCTGGAGTGAATTAATTCCATTTAGGTTATTTCTAATGGGAAAATATGATTCAGTTTTCAAACAAATTGCCTCTCGAACAGCCTTCCTTAATAAATTAAGTTTGAGAACCAAGGTTCCACTGTAGCATATTCTGTTAGGTTAACGTCAGAAAGTGATTGTGTTGGTAGGAGTGCTATGACTGTGTGGAGAATAGCTATAGTCAGGGAGGAGCTTAAGACCACATGGATGGATCAGAATAGCAACTGAGTCAAGGAAGAATTGATTCATATTAAGCAATGGTCCAGTCTTTGTCTTTAGGAATCTGTTCACACCTAAAACACCTCCTTTTTCATCATAGCATAAAAATATACAGGTTTAGGATTACCAAGAAGACTTAATGCTGAGGTTCTTTAGCAGATTATTTAAAGAAGAAAAAAGCTTTTTTGGCTTTTTGGGGCAAAGGTCATAGCTCTGGGATGTTAGTTCTATTTGCATGCAATAGAAGTTTTGGGCTAGAAGCATATCCAATATGCTATGTAAACAATAGCTAGCTATATCCAAGAGGGTAGATATTTGTGAAATTTGCATGGGCCTTGAGCCTGGTTTTTGTCCTAGATGATGACCTCACTTCTGTTGGTATGAGAAGTAATGCTCTAGCTGATGAATCTGAAACAGGCATAACATGGTTTTTACAGTCTTTGTAGGAGGAAAGGTCTACACAGGCAGTAAGATTTTGGTATTTTGTCTTCCACTGAGGGTGTAGCTGACAGTTGGCCATCAAGTCTTGGATAGTGGCAAAGTTTCCAGTCCACAGATTTTTATCTAAATTCCTTTCCAAAGGTGGGAGAACAAAGTCTTCCATTACAGCCTCAAGGAATTTGGGTCAATATGCATTACAGATTTTTAAAAAGAAAGCAAAATAGAACAAAGATTCACTGCCATAAAATATTTACTAGTATGCAGGAAGCAGGATAGCAAGGGGACAGGGTTGGGAATGACAGAAAAAGAAAAAGAAGGTAACTCTGGATGATTTTTTAAATTGTGATGAGGAATTACTTGGAAGCATTTTCTTGAAGTGAGCAGATGATTTAGCATTAAAACTGATCCAAGAGGTGGGATGTAAGTAGTTATTGTATGGATCTTTGTGCCTATGAGAGAAGAGCCTGGGAAAACTTCAGGGAGACATTGTATTTGCCTTGATTCTTCAGAATTGGCTCAAATATCCTCTTTTCTGTGTAGTCTTTTTTGGCTCCCTGCTCCCTGGAAAAATGAACTACTTCCTTATTTGTGTGCTCCTCTCAATCATACTTATGTTATATGCATA